CTTTGGTCGGCCATTTTGGCCCCGCCCTACCCCCGGGGGTCATGATTTGAAAACTTGAATCTACACTACCTGAGCATGTTTCCATATAAATATGATGAATTATGGCTTTGTCATTCTTGAGAAGAAGATTTTTAAAGAATTTTCCTATATATTTCTATGTAAAACTTTGGTCGGCCATTTTGGCCCCGCCCTTACCCGGGGGGTCATGATTTGAACAAACTTGAATCTACACTACATGAGCATGCTCCCATATAAATATGATGAATTATGGCTTTGTCATTCTTGAGAAGAAGATTTTTAAAGAATTTTCCAATATATTTCTATGTAAAACTTTGGTCGGCCATTTTGGCCCCGCCCTACCCCCGGGGGTCATGATTTGAACAAACTTGAATCTACACTACCTGAGCATGCTTCCATATAAATATGATGAATTATGGCTTTGTCATTCTTGAGAAGAAGATTTTTAAAGAATTTTCCTATATATTTCTATGTAAAACTTTGGTCGGCCATTTTGGCCCCGCCCTACCCCCGGGGGTCATGATTTGAACAAACTTGAATCTACATTACCTGATGATGTTTCCCCATAAGTTTCATCTTTCCTGGCACAGTGGTTCTTGAGAAGAAGATTTTTAAAATATACCACTAAATTTTCATTAATTCCCAATTATCTCCCCTTGAATAAGGGCGTGGCCCTTCATTTGAACAAACTTGAATCTTCACCCAAGGATACTTTGTGGCAAGTTTGGTTGAAATTGGCCCAGCGGTTCTTGAGAAGAAGTCGAAAATGTGAAAAGTTTACAGACAGACAGACGGACAGACAGACGGACAGACGGACGCCGGACAAAAATGTGATCAGAAAAGCTCACTTGAGCCTTCGGCTCAGGTGAGCTAAAAAGTTGTAACCAAGGTTAAAGTTTAAAAAGTAGTTAAAACTCCAAGGTCAAGGTCAAAGGGTAAAAGTTGTTGGTACATAATGGAAGGTCTTTTCACAATGATTACATATATGAAGTACGAAAGCCCTAGCTCTCGCCGTTCAAAAGTTATGGTCAAGGTTAAAGTTTTTTCGTAAGTACGTGAAACTCCATGGTCAAGGTCAAAAGGTCAAGGTTGTTGGTATCTAATGAAAGGTCTTGCCACAAAAAATACATATGTGAAACATAAAAGTCCTAGTACTTACCTTTCAAAAGGTATGGCCAAAGAAAAAGTTTGGAATTTTTGTGTAAAAATGTGTCAAACTCCAAAGTCAAGGTCAAAAGGCCAAATTTGGTGGTACCCAAAGAAAGGTCTTGACACAAGGAATACACCTGTGAAATATGAAAGCCATAGCCCCATCCAGTAAAAAGTTATGTGCAAGGTTGAAGTTTTTGTGACGGACAGACTGACAGACTTACAGACTGACAGACTGACGGACAGACGGACAGACGAATGAGATTTAATGTCCCCTCGCTTTCGCGAAAGCGGGGGACAATAGACTATGACCTTTCCATTCTATAGAAGATTTTCCCTATATATTCCTATAAATAAAACTCGTTTATTGTACGTGTCCAAGCCCTAACACCCCCCCCCCCCCCCCCCCCCCCCCCCCCCGTCATGATTTGAACAGACTTGATTCTAAATTAACCGAGGAAACTTCCATTTAAATATGACCAATCATGTCTTACGTTTCCTGTTCTCCTAAAGAAGATGCGTGTTTCCACATAAGTTTGATCGTTCCTGACCCGGATGTTCTTGAGATTTTAAAAAGAATTTTCCTATATATTCCTATGCAAAACTTTGATTTTTTTCGTTGTGACCACCCTATCCCCGGGGGTCATAATTTGTACAAACTTGATTCTACACTACCCCAAGATGCTCCCACATAAGTTTTATCTTTCCTGACTCATTGTGGCCCCATCCTACCCGTGGGGATCATGATTTGAACAAACATGATTCTACACTACCCAAGAATGCTTCCACATAAGTTTTATCTTTCCTGACCCAGTGGTTCTTGAAAAGAAGATTTAAAAAAAAGAAGACTTTTCCTATGTATTCTTTTTTATTAACTTTGATCCCCCATTGTGGCCCCATCCTACCCGTGGGGATCATGATTTGAACAAACTTGAATCTACACTACCTGAGGATGCTTCCACATGATTTTCATCTCTCCTGGTCCAGTGGTTCTTGGGAAGAAGATTATTTAAAGATGCCATTTATTTTTCACAAATTCATAATTCACAGTTCTGCAGCTATAATGCGATGCTCCAAAGATTGAAAGAATTAAGATGGGCGCATTTGGCGTGTGATCTGTAGGAATCATTTGTACGAAACATTTATGGTTTAAAGGTACTTGGACACAGATTTGAAGTTATTATTTTCTCTATAATATTACGACTTAGTTATATATATTTTAATAGCATTTCACATAAAAATTAATTTAATATCTTATTTCATTTAAAGTGAAAGATAGTAAAATTTCAAATTTTTTGGCGGGTTTGATTGACACATCCTTGCACTTTCACAAATTAATTCTATTCTTAATATTTATATAGGAAAAGTGACAATCTCGTTGTGTATAAATGAAAAATATTAATACTATAATCCAGAAAATTCAGAGTAGACATGTTTGAAAGCAAAACAAACACACAATATATTGTCAGTCCGTGCAGTTGTGGTAAGCAGACTGTGACTATTGAACGCACCCGGTGAATTGTAAACATCGACAATAAGAACTTGTGCCCTGTTTACAAAAACTGTGTACATAACACAAGTGTGCTCGATTTGCTAAACTCTAGATCTGTACACAACTCTTACCCCAGAATGACGATACTTGTGAAGGAGTTTTGCTTCCTAACATTTCTACTCTGAATAAAATTATTTTTCTGGATAAAAGTTTTAATATTTTTTATTAATACACACCAATATTGCCACATTTCCTAAGGATTAAGAATAAGGTTAAAATTTGAGAAAGTGCAAGGATGTGTCAATCAAACCCGCCCAAAAAATTGAAGTTTTAATGATTTTTAAATGAAATAAGATTTTTTATTAATTTTTGTGTGAACTGCTATTAAAATATTTAAGTCGTAATATTGTACAGAAAATATTGACTTCAAATATGTGTCCAAGTACCTTTAAATGTCCATAATTTGGTTGGCTGATCATAGCTGGTCAGATTTTACAAACACGTCCATAGGGTTTTTTTTTCATTAAGTTTGAAAGACTTTGTGAGATTGTAACATTCAATATGTCCGTTTTTCCTAGGGGGTACTATAACACAGTAATGTTTCACAAAAATTAACACCTAAATATTTAATGTATGGATTCTTGATACGAAGTAAAGAAGATTGGAATTGATTTCGCTCAAGAACCAAACTGAACCAAAATTTATCTAATTCAAAATTTTAATACATCAGTATATAAAACGAAACTGACAAAATAAATGGTTGTTTGCATGAAAAAATAATTAACGCCCCATGCAAGGCTCGAACCAAAAAACTTTTCACTTCAAGTGCACTGAACAGGTAGCAAAACTTGCTGAGCTATCGCCGCTACACAAACAAAGCTGATCACCACATTTACATATTTGGATTTTTGGGGAAAAGTTCATTTTTCGTGGTCTCTGGGTCTTCTCTCCATTTTTCAAAAATGTGTATTCGTTTCTTTGAATTAAATTACATACAAATAACGTTAAAAAATAATGGAGAGAAGACCCAGAGATAGAAGAAAAAACGTTTAAAAATGTACCATTTTGTACCAAATGTCTGATCTGGCCAATTTTCAAGTTATTTTTTAGCAAATCAAAGCTCAATTTCGGGAAAATATTTTTTCTTTCCTGTTGCACAGGAACCCGATAAATAAAAAAATGTAAAAATTTCATGTGACATGTCGATAAAATTTTCACTTTTCAATTACGCCCAGATTCCTGCCGAATGCCAATCAAAAGCGCCCTCGTTCTTAGAAATGGGAAAATCGCGAAAGCGAGGGGGGGGGCATGTCCATCACAAAAACTTAAACCTTGCAATTGGTCAGATCTTTTGAATTCGGACTTCAATCATATTACACGTCATGTGTAAAATGTACCATTTTGTACCAAATGTCTGATCTGGCCAGTTTTCAAGTTATTTTTAGCAAATCAAAGCTCAATTTCGGGAAAATATTTTTCTTTCCTGTGGCACAGGAACCCCATAAATAAAAAAAAATGTAAAAATTTCATGTGACATGTCGATAAAATTTTCACTTTTCAATTACGCCCAGATTCCTGCCGAATGCCAATCAAAAGCGCCCTCGTTCTTAGAAATGGGAAAATCACGAAAGCGAGGGGGGGGGGGGGGCATGTCCATCACAAAAACTTAAACCTTGCAATTGGTCAGATCTTTTGAATTCGGACTTCAATCATATTACACGTCATGTGTATAACTTGTAACGAGACCTTTCTAAATCCATTTTGATTTTTGACCTCGAGACCTTTTTAAATTTGACATACTTCCAACTTTTTTTTAAAAAACATTATTTTAAAAAGTTTAAATCGGCCATAACTTTTGAATGAGAAGAGATATGGCTTTAAAATTATAACTATATATTACCTGTGACGTCCTTTCTAATAATTTATTACATGCTTTTTGACCAAGTTACCTTGAAGTTTGATCTAGTTTTGAATGAGAAGAGACAGGACTTTATTTCACATGTACACCACCTGTGACAAGACCTTTCTAAACACATTATTTACGACCCCATGACCTTGAGGTTTGACCTACACTGTACCTTTCATATTTTTTCCTCCTTAAAAACTTTTGAGAAGAGATAAGGCCTTCATATTTGTTACCTGTGACAAGATATTGTCGTTTTCTGACCTTTCGACCTTCATGTTTGACCCAATTTTTCAACAACAAAAACATATGATAGGATGTCCATATTTGTCACAATGTGCCAAAAAAAATATCTCACCCACAGAGACAATGAGAGCAGGGTACAATTCTTTGTTTACCTTTATAGATTAGGCAGCAACAGAGAAAAAAAAATCACGAATTATTTCCATATTTTATTCTTTCATCCAAAAGGTGAAACCCATCTACAGAGAATTGCAAGTGGTATTAATCCCTTTTTTTTTTAATGTAAAATTTGTAATATTTGAAGATACGAGATGATAAAAATCATTGTCAAATCTTATAATTGAACTTTAGTCAAAACTGATTAAATGCAAACTTGGTTGTACATTGTTGGCACCATAAAAAATGGATGCGAGACAACATCCTAATGAATGATATACTTAATCTATTCCCAGCTTTGCTGGTGTATTTTCTCTGTATTCTACTATTTTTGGCTACATAAATACTAATATCAATGCACAAGGACAAAAGATAACATACACAATGATGAAATGATCTGCACTACTAAAAATATCAGATGATAAAATTATGGTTACAACACTATAAATCAAAACTACCATAACAAGCAGATTATAAAATGAAGGATTAATAAAATGATCAGCATAAAAATATGTAATGTTTCTTGAACACAATACAGGTACATGAAAAAGTGACTGAAAAAGAGAGAGAAAGAAAGTTTTGAGATGACTATACATAAATATCTATACAATTCTAAAATTACCTGAATTTTCATGCAAACTGACTACTCTCTCACAATATACACAGAATAAATATACAATCTTATTTGCCACTGAAAAGTAAAATGGACATTTTCATCTTCAAGATTGTTTCCAAATTATTCAGGTTCAAACTGGATAAGAATGTACATCCAATGCTTAAAAAAAATACTCTAATGAACACAATTGTGGCTGCTGCCTGAATTAAAAAAAAAATTGCCCATTCTTAAAAATTTTGTTACTTACACCAGTAAATATTTATATAAATATCTCCGGCATTTGATGAGATTGCCATTTATAAAACTTTTACAATAAATACATAAAATACATTTTTTACACGAAGAATTGGCAGTCAAAAAATATCAGAATTCACACTTCACTTCCTTCGTAACCGTGTCGTCCTTTTAGCTGGAGTTGGTGATTTTGCTGCAGCTTTGCCTCTAGTTTTCTTTGGGGAAACCTTGGGAGTGGGAACTGATTTCTCAGGTGCAGCTGCTTTGCTTTTTGTTGCTTTTTTAGGTGTTGCTTTGGCAGGCTTCCCTGCTGCCTTGCCTCTGGTTGCTCTTGATTTTACAGGACTGGCTTCTTTCACTGGTGTAGCAACTTTACTTTGTTTTGGGGCTGCAGCTTTCTTGCCTCGCGTAGTTTTTGTGACTGGGCTTTCTGGTGTTACTTCTGCAGGTGCATCTTTAACTGGAGATGGAGCTTTGCTCTTGATGGCCTTCTTTGGAGTTGCTGCTTTTGTAACAACAGCCTTTCCTCTCCCTCTCCTTGCTTTTACAGGACTGACAACAACAGGCTCTTCAGTTGTTTTCTGCTGTTTGGGTGAACTTGGGCCCTCTGATGCTTTTCCCTTAGTAGCTCTTTTACGAGAAGCAGCAGGAGTTGCAGTTTTCTTGGGTGTTGCTTTAGCAGCTTTACCTCTTGTAGCTCTTTTCACTGGACTCACTGCAACTGGTGCTTCCTTCTTTGGGGTAGCTTCTTTCTCTGCTTTACGCTTGGTTGCTCTGCTCATTTTGGGACTTGCTACTGGGGTTGTAGCTTTCTCTTCTACTGCAGTTTTCACTTGTGCTACTTTCTGGGGAGTTGCTTTCTTTGCAACAGCTTTTCTTCCACCTCTTCTGGTAGTCTTGGGAGTAACTGCTGGTGTGGCAACTTTCTCTTCCACGGCAGATTTCACTGGTGCTGCTTTTTGAGTTGCTTTCTTCCCTCTTCCACCTCTTCTGGTTGTCTTTGGACTAACTGCTGGTGTGGCAACTTTCTCTTTCCCTGAAGTTTTTACTGCTGCAGCTTTTTGAGGAGTTGCTTTCTTTGCAGTGGCTGCCCTTCCACCTCTTCTGGTAGCTTTAGGACTAACTGCAGGAGTTGCTGCTATTACTTCTTGTGTCTCTGCTTCTGCAGCTTTCTTTCCCCGAACTGTCCTCTTTTTAGTACTAACTGCTGGTGTTGCTGGTTTGGCAGGCGAGGCTGCCTTGACTGCCTTTTTAGGTGTAACTTTTTTAGCAGTTGCTGTTTTCTTTCCTCTAGTTGCTCGTCCCTTCACTGGACTTTCCTTGACAGGGGAAGCAGGTTCCTCCATTTTCTGACATTTTGCAACGGCTTCAACCTCATCCTCTTTAGCTACTTCTCTACCTCTTTTCTGTGCAACTGGTTTAGCAGGAGAAGCTGCCTTCTTTGGTGTGGGTTTTGCTGCAGCTTTCCTCCTAGTGGCTCTACCTTTGACTGGACTAACTTTAACAGGCGTACTCTCCTCTTCAGTGGCTACTTTAGCTGCCTTTCCTCTTGTAGCACGCTTTTTAGGTGTAGGTTTGGGAGATTCCTTGACAGGTGTTGCTGCTTTCTTCGCAGAAGCCTTTGTTGCACGTTTCTGCTCCTTCTCCACAGCCTTCTTCATTGGTGTGATGCTAACCACAGGCTCTTTATCCTTTCCATTCTTGACTGGTTTCACCACCTCTTCCTCAACTTTTTTCTTAGCACTCATTGGTGCCACAATAGCCACAGGCTTGGGAGATGTCTGCACTGTTGCTGGAGACACAGGAACAGTCGCCTGGGTCTGTCTTCCTCTCCTTTTCAGGGCATCTACCATGAATAAAATACACAGTAAAATAACTGTAGTCAACCTTTGTAATTTTTTTTGTCTTATGACTATCATTTTTTATGCTTCTTCGTTTTTTTAATGAAACAAGTGATACAGGCAATGCTTATATATATGTTGTCAGCACATACTAAAATTTAGAAAATTCCATAGACCAATGAAAATTGAAATTTTCCAAAGTACACAGGATTATTTTGGTTAAAGTTTATAAAAGCTTTGAAGGAATTTGAGAAACATATTGAAGTTTAAATGATTTTTTTTTTGTCAACAAAGTACAGCATTTAAAATTAAATGTTACCATGTAAAAATCGATATGGTAAACAAGGGAACAGAAAAATTCTTTGTTTTTCCTTGTATCTCAGGTATCTGGGTATAAAAATGCTACGCATGCACTTGAAGATTTCCTTATCCAGAATTGTTATTTACCTTTCCTCTGCTTGACTGGGGTTGCTTTTTTTGGCAGGAGTCTTCTTTGCTGTTCTGCCTCTGTAATATGTATAAAAATTGGATCAGTTTTTCTCCATTCTCTTTAACTTTTTTATAAGCATGAAACTCATTTCACAACAAATTAGAAACTATATCTTTTTATAGTTTTCTTAAAAAAGCAAGTTTGTATGAAATACACACACTATTTCTTTATCTATATCATTACATCTGATTTTTCAGACCTGTATTGATTTATACCCACCCTCTTCTAGCTACAGGGGATTTAGCAGGAGCTGGGGAGGCAGGGGTGGCTACAGCAGCTATTACTTCTGTACCAACAGATTTTTCCTCTGGGGTGGCCTCCACACGAATCTTCTTTGTGGGCTGTGGTGGGGTAGCTAAAACCTTGGCTCCCCTCTTTGTCCCTCTCCTTAGGAAAATATAAATAATTTAAATCCAATTCCGATTACCTTGTTATCTTTAAAAAGCTCAATTTTTTTCTTTTCATTTTCTCTATGTACATAAACTGATCACTACCTAGTTGCCGGGGATTTCGATTTTGTGGACTTTGGACTCTTCAATTTTTTCACCGATGAGGCTTTTGGACTCTTTGCTTTCTTGGTTGATGAAACTTTAGGACTCTTCTTGGCTGATGAAGGTCTTGAAGATCCAGGAGTCTGAAATTCAAAAGCAAATTTTATTAAAGAGCTCTTCCAAAAGCTACAGAAAACTTGTTAGAATTTTGAAGATAAGCATGTTAGGCTTCTTTAAATATATTTTTTTTATACCTTCATCAAATCCTTGATTCCCAGTGGACTTTTAGGTGACTGTACATTTTTAGGCTGAGCAAAGAGCCTCTTCATGCCACCCAGACGAGGACTTGCTGCAGCAACGCTGTTTGACAGAGGTGACACGGCCATTTCTCCAGGTCCAACGGGAGTGTCTGGCAGGTCAGAGAATAGAGAGTGGGGGGTTCCTGTACTCAGTGGAGTGCCTGTTGGGGATTTCCCTTTGGGCGTGGCAAACAATTCTTGGACTCCTGATGGGCTTACTGCCTTGTTCTTTATTGCCTACAAGGTAGAATACAAATATGACATTTCCTTAGAAATGTTGTAGAATTATGACACTTTCCGATTCCAAGATGGGAAACAAGGAACACTATAAATAGTACAGGAAAAAATACCTTTGACTTTCCAACTGATTTTCTTCCTTTCTTAGGTAGAGCAGTAGGAGTTTTGACTCTCTTCTTGCCTATGACAATAGTCATTGGTGAATCTGCATGTCCAGTTGTTGGTGCAGTGGCCCTTGCCTTGGTTCTGGGTGTCTTGGCAATGGACTGAAATGTACGCAAAAAATCTATAAATTTTACTGTTGTTAGTATTTTTAGCTGTTGCTGAAATAACACTTTATATATTTGGAGGATAAATATGTATAAAAAATGATACTTGATTTTAGCAAATTTCACCTTTCACACTGAATACCGTTAACTTTGTGTTCAAGCCATTGTAAAATTTTTCTTTTTATATAAAAAAAATATTATCCCCTAATTCTATAAAGAACTTTATATAGTTGGGGGGTGGGTGTTTTATTTTAATTAGAAAATAAATAACGTCAGATGTCTGTGCCTGGTACCATTCATTAGAAAAGAAAAAAAAATTTTCTGTGAAATACTGTTACATACCTTCCTTGTATTCTTCTTGGCACTCTTCTTTGCTATTCTCTTCAAATGCATAACTCTCTTGGCTTGTGGGGGAACCACTTTTTTGGGCACACCTTTCTTCACTACATCTGCCCAGCTTTTAGGTGCCATCTTAGGCAATTTTGGGGTCGCTCCCTTGCCATGAATGGCTCGGATGGCAACTGCTTTCCTCAGATCAGCCATAGGAGCATCAATTTTCTGTACAGCTGGGGAAGCAACAATTATCCTGGGTGTCTTCTTCTTTGCGGAGGCCACCTTTTGTTTAGGAGTAGCTATCATTTCAGCAATGCCAGTGTAACTTGTCTCTGCAGGAGTCTTGGCAGATTTGACCTTTGGAGTAGTCTTCTTTCCTGAAGCAGATTTTGGAGTTTCCATCATGTCAGAAATGCCAGTATAGCTGGTGTCTGCCAGTCTTTTAGGGGTCTTTAGTAGTCTCTTAACACCTGCAAGACTTCCTGTACTTGCTCTTCTGTCACCCTCCATTTTCTTCTTTGACTGAGAGCTGACAGCTGATCTCCTCCTTTTATTGCTACCAGCAGCTGGGGTACTTGCAACCACACTTGGTGACTGAAACAAATTATCCAGTCCCATGGATTCATCCAAGGATCCTGTAGATGCAGCCTTCTTGGGACTTTTTGGTGATTTTTTGGGGGTAGCTTTAGAGGACTTAGGTTGTGGAGTTTTACTCTGCACAGGAGACTTTGCCTTTGGTGACTTCTGCTGAGCTGGAGACTTGGGAGAAGATGCTGCTACTGGTGTGGAAACTGGTGTTTCTTGAAGTGTCTTGGGTGATGCACCTTTGGGGGTTGCTGCCTTTGCTGGTGATCTGCTTTTAGGGCTCTTGGGGCTTGGGGTGACAGCCTTTACCTCTGGGGATTTTGTCTCAGCTGAAGCCTTTGGTGAGGCCCTTGGACTCTTTGCTTTAGGCTGTGGAGATTTTCCTTTCTTTGCACTTCCAGGAGAACGGCCTCTAGCCCTGGGAGATTTATGTGGACTTTCCTCTTTAATAGGTGACTTTTTGGCAGTAGCAATAGATTTCCTTTTCAGCAGTGGTTTCAGTGACTCTGTGCTGGCTGTCTGCCGTTTGGGTGTTGCCCCTTTTCTTACAGGTGTTGATGGAGGAAGAGTCTTCAAGAAATGCTCAGGACTCAGTTTGGGTCCGAAGGACACTCTTGATCGTTTAGACTTGGACTCCAAAGTTTCTGTAGACTTTCTTTTCTTTCCAGAACTTACAGGTGTTTTAGGCAATGCTGAAGTAAAATATGAAAATTAATATTCATGCATTGTTTTTATTCCTCAACAATTTGAATGAAGTAAGTCATTTTACATAATTTATAGTTTGTAGGCCTAAGATACATATATTGCACATGCAGCAGTCTTCACGAAAACTTTTCAAACTAACTGGCCAGTCGGACCAGTGAACTTTCAAACTTTACTGGCCCACCAAAATTTTTACTGGCCCCTAATAAAATACTAGTAATAAAAAACTAGTAATAAAATAAATACATTTTCATAACTGTTAATTTACTGTAGATCACTAAATTTTCGCGACACCTTATTTGGAGATTAGTCGTGTGACTCTTTATAAGCGAGACACAAATTTTCACGAATTGTGGTCATTGCTCTATATAATCTTAAGGGATTCCATATATACGCGAGAAAATCAAATTAAATTTCAGCATCTGAGCATACCAGCTCGCAACTGGTTTATATAAGCCTTATAGTTTCTTGGTGATAGACGAAAATAAAGCTATTATCTTGCGAATAAAAAGTGATTTGTGTGCATCCTAAGAACAATCCATGTTTTGGTCAACATACTTAAAGTTGACTTGCAAATGCCGCCAAAAAATTTTTCGTCCTTTGTCGCGTTTCGGTAAGTTGTTCGTTGGAATTTTTGAACATGCAATTTACGTCATTATACGGTTAATAGTAACTAGCTAAAATGAAACTTTCACCAAAAACTTTAACCTGTTCACTCAACCGGAAAATGTAGGTCAGATTCAGCATCCGAAACAAGGCTGGTTATCATCCTACGATGTATCAACACATGTAAGTTTGGTCATTATATGTCTCATAGTAACTTAAATATTAATGAAAAAACTTTAACCTGTTCACTCAACCGGAAAATGTAGATCAGATTCAGCATCCGAAGCAAGTCTAGTAGAATACATCCTAAGATGTACCATCCATGCAAGTTTGGTCATTATAGGGCTCAAAGTATCTTCGAAATGAAACCTTCACCAAAAACTTTTAACCTGTTCACTCAACCGGAAAATATATATCGACAGGTCAGATTTTATATCCGAAGCAAGGCTGGTAGTATGCATCACTACCCGATGTATCATTCATGTAAGTTTGGTCATTATATGTCTCATAGTAACTTGGAAATGAAACCTTCACCAAAAACTTTAACCTGTTCACACAAAAAAATTAACATGGTGTATTTATTATATAAAATTTGCATTCAGTATTTTTTTACCAAAAACTTTATTATGAAAATTAAAAATTACAAAGCAATATTTTAAATATATCCATGTAAGTTTGGTCATTATATGTCTCATAGTAACTTGGAAATAAAACCTGCACCAAAAACTTTAACCTGTTCACTCAACCGGAAAATGTAGGTCAGATTCAGCATCCGAAGCAAGTCTAGTAGAATACATCCTAAGATGTATCAATATGTATAATCCATGCAATTTGGTCATCATAGGGCTCAAATTAATAAAATAAATTCACCAAAAACTTTAACCTGTTATAGAGAGCACTCAAGCAAGGCTATGTACACAACACCATGGTTTGGTCAACTAAACTAAATGATATTCAAGACACTCAAACATTTCTTTTTCAATGACTGTTTGACACAATGAAACTCACTAGCAACATCTTCCATGCATGTCTAATCAATATAGGACAAAGAAGTACTTGATGCTCCAAAAAACTTAACCTTACCACTGACAGCTATTTACTTCGGATGAACAAAAATGTGAATGACAGCACTAATTAACACCTTTCACTTCAGCTAAATGTTCACCTCTGTTTAAAACAACACTAATTAATTCACTACTTCAATTTTATATCAAAATATACCACTGCTTAAAATTATTATTTTTTCTTTTTATTACTTACTCTTCTTTCCATTTTCTTTTTGTTCACTGAAAGAAAAAAAATCAAATCAAAGGGTTAAAATTTAAGAACATACACATCACAGTGTCAGCTCAAGTTCATTATCATTTACTTCTTCTATACACAGAAAAATATTCATGAATCAAATCAATCTTTTTAAAGTTAAACTACCACCAAGTTAAAATTTTTTATTATAATTATTATAAAATTATAACTTTACAATTTATTTCAACTGCTTACCAACTGGTGTCCATCCGCTGGTGCTTGGAGACTCCAGAGTGGTGTTTACTGATGCAGCAGCTTTTGGGGAGGGAGTTCTCGTTTTCCTCCCAGGACTAGTAGCTTTAGGAGTAGTAGCCGGTGATTTAGCCAGTGTCTTTGCCTTTGGGGAGGGGCTCCTGGATTTAGGTGATCTGGCCTTCTGTGCAGATTTTGGAGTGGCAGCAGGTGTTGTTGACTTTGGAGAAACACTTCCGGACTTTCTACCTGACTTGGGTGTGGACAAAGCTTCTTCAGAAGTTACCACTGGAGTAGTAGATATTACAGGAGTCTTAGGAGATGCCTTGGGGGTCTTGGCTTTAGGTGATACACTCCTTGATTTTCTACCTGATTTTGGAGTTTGTTTTGGTTCCCCGACAACAGGAGTGGTAGACTTTGCAGGTGTCTTGGCTTTTGGTGAAGCCTTAGGAGTCTTGCCTTTAGGTGATACACTTCTTGATTTCCTACCAGACTTAGGGGTTGCAATTACGTTAGCCTCTTTGACAGGAGTTGAAGCTACAGGTGTCTGTACCTTTGGAGATACAGTTCCAGAGATTTCTGCCTTGGGAGAAGCACTCCTTCCAGGTGACCTGCCCTTTGGAGACCTTGCTTTAGGAGTTGCAACTTTAGGTGTTTTGGCCTTAGGAGATGCACTTCTTGCAGGTGACTTGGCTTTAGGAGTTGCAACTTTGGGGGTTTTGGCCTTAGGAGATGCACTTCTTGCAGGTGACTTAGCCTTTGGTGAACTTGCTTTAGGAGTTGCAACTTTCCTTAGGAGTTTTAGCCTTTAGGAGATGCACTTCTTGCAGGCGACTTGGCTTTAGGGGTTTTAGCCTTAGGAGATGCACTTCTTGCAGGTGACTTGGCCCCAGGAGACTTTGTTTTCGGAGTTGCACTTTTTGGTGTTTTGGACTTAGGAGAGGTGCTTCTAGATTTCCTGCCTGGTTTAGGGGTTGACTGAATCTCTGCAGGTTCTGCTGGATTTGCCACTACAGGTGTATCAGCTCTTGGTGATATACTCCTTGATTTTTTCCCTGTTTTAGGTGTTGTCTTGGATTCCTCAGTAGCTTTAGCTGGCGTTGTGGATGTCACTGGGGTCTTGGCTTTGGGTGACCTGTTTGGTGTCTTGGTTTTCGGTGAAGCACTCCTCGATTTTCTACCTGATTTTGGAGTTTTAGCAGGGGTTACCTTTGCCTTTGGTGAAGAACTTCTTGACCTGGGCTGAGATTTTGGGGTTGCCACCTTCTTTACTGGAGATTTTGCTGGCGTTTCTGAAAGTACCGCTGACTTTAAATTCGACGCTGGTGTTTTCTTTGGTGAAGGAGATCTTCCTTTTGCATTTGGAGTGGCAGCGGTATTTGAGCTTGGAGACTTGGGTGCAGCTAATGAAGTACGCCTGTTAGGGCTTTTGGCAGAAGGAGTATTAGGCTTCTGAGGTGTTCCAATTGGTGGTTTTACCTTAGGGGTAAGGATTTTCGAGTCTGCCTTCATCTGCAAGGATTAAATTAAAGCTCATAGTTCCTGATTATTCTGTAACATTTCAACGTCATCTTTAAAATTTTTCTTACACAAGAAGAAAACATTTAATTAAAGTTGTTAAAACTATTAATGATTGCAATCAAAAACAATAATTTTAATTCTTTTCTTTCTCCCTACACCGTTTACTTATTTGAATTACTGTACTTCTATTTTCATAATTTAACTTTTTTCAAAAATGAATTAAAAGTATAAAAGAATCTATTTTTTTCCCAGGTATGAAAATTGTTTTGAACATTTAGAGTAGCATCTACAGTACTATTGAACAATCAATGAAAGCATTATGCCAGTGATGAAAATTTGAAATTTAATATCTCCCATTCATGTGGTTTTACATTTGAAAAATATTTTTTTAATCATATTTTGTTTCTTTTGGTTTAATACGGTTATACCTTTTAAAATTATCAAAGGATGTCTCTTTTTCTTCTGCAAATTGTAGACAAACTTTACAACTTTGCAGATGTTGGTCTGACCAATTTAAAATGTAGTTTTATTTTCATTCTTTTTTTTAAATCTGAATACTGTAAAAGCAGAAATATTTGTGGGGGATTAAATTTTGTTTATTTGTTGTTAACAATTATCAACGAAATTAAATCCCACACAAAATTTTTAAATGACATATATATTGTATAGGGACACTTTCAAAACAACGAAATCAAATCCCCACGAAACTATTCTAGGCAACAAAACAATGAAATTTTATCCCAACGAAAATTTGTGATTCTACAGTATTCATGCTCAACATGCAATTTAAATGCAACCATTCATAAAAGTGCAAACTATCAATTATACAATTGATTCTAAGCAGATCTAGTATCACACACAAACACATGAACAAAATAAAAACAAACGGACGGATGGACATCCTGATCAATTTATCCCTCCCACTTTTCAAGCGGGGTATAATAAAGCATGCAGTTGCTAAAAATACCTTGTGTGGAGATTTGACAGGGGTCTTCTTCGGAGATGCACTGCGCATGTTCTCAGGAAGTTCGAGCCTAAATGATCTGTCTATGATTGTGAAGACATCTTTGTTGGAGAGTTTCTTCTTTCCATCCAGAACTTTTCCATTAAGTGACACGGGATTTGAGTCACTCAGATTAGTTAGATATACCTTAAAAGGACATCAAATATATATATTTTTTTAAATTAAAGGCTATAATGGTTTGAACCCAACCCTCCCAAGGTGATGATTCCAAACAAATTTTTCAAAGATGACCCTGTCATATATTAATACAGGCATTTAATTATCTTAACTTGACATGAAAATATCTTGTAAGTGTTAGTCTGTGAGCATGCATGGTATTATCACATAAAGTGATTTGGTTTTTCATTATTTTTGATGATCCCATACTTACCGCACCATTTTCCACAGTCACTCGACAGTGTTCCCTTGATACATTTGGCAGCTGTATTCTTATGTCACATTCACTGGACCTGTTTTACAGAAATCATCATATAAACAACAAAAGAATAAATTTTATAGCCCTGTTCTTGCATGTATTATGTCTACAGGGTTTAATGTTTTGCTTTATAATCAGAAATTAAATCAAAGACTTATGTTCGATTATTATATATACCCTTAGGGAATGATGAAAATCTGCAAGATTTATAAAATATTGCCAGAAAACATTTTGTTTCATACCTGCCAAACACACAGTTCTCAGCAGTCAAAGGAAACTGTGCTCCATCTGCACCTGACCTTTTTATTACAACAATTTTTCCATGTAACATCTGCACATAAAAACAAGAGCATATATTAATAATGTCAACCTTGTTCCATTTCATATAACCTTGTAGAATTATTTTAAACATGTGTACAGAATCTTCAAAACAATTCACAGGGACCAGTCCTGACTTATAAAATATTAATAGATCTAACACAGGTTTACTGCCGCGAATTACAAACTTTCGATCAGCTGGTAAACTGTTACATGGATTCCTACAAAGAGTCTGACGAATATTTTTAATTGTGAAACATCTACAGTAAATAAAATTAAGAAATATAAAAATGTGATCAATGTTGCACATCTCTCAGACTCTGAAACTTCATTATGCATTGCTTATGGTACGCTTTTAAAACACATGAAATACACAACATGCAATTTACATGATTTTCATTTAAATGTCGCTGTTTTCCAAACATGAGTAGCATGGTTTTAAGCTATGATATGAATTTGTCAAAAACTTACCTTTGTTTGCACGATAAATTTATAAACCCGGGGTATTTTTTCACATTTCCTACTAGAAAGTCAAAGCGCGAATACTCGTGGGCGAAAAACACTCTTCTGTAAAAACCGTTCGATAAAAAATATAGTTCTTTAAAAAATGTATGCACGTTTTGAGTAGTAGCTGTTTTGTTATATTAAATTATTTTAAACACTTTTCATACATTTTATTTCCTCTATTTCTTATAACAAAAAATAATTAAAACGTAAAAGTCTATCATTTATCGAGCACGCGTATTTCGTTTTAGCGGAGTGATATATCAGTTTTCATTTGAAATTTATTATTTTTGACTTCTCATTGGTCAAATAACCACAACATCGCCATTGTTGTTCCTTATATGGATAACGCTAGAAGTTTAAATTTCATATAGTTCCGGCGGCGAATTCGGAAAGAGAGTAAGTGTGAAGCATATTTATATTATTTTTGAAATATGATAAGTAAAAGTATATCCAGTATTTTTAACTATCAGAAGTTGCATTTGAATCATATTTATTTTCTTTATAATATAGCTTTTATTTGATATCAGAAACAGGTGTTTGTAAATCCACATCTCGAATGTAAACAAAATGAAATGAAGGATGGTGGGGAAGAGATAGGCCATCAAACATGTCATAGGGACATGTTGTGCATTTCTAGATCTATGTTTGCTAAAGCTCCAATCTCAATTTTTCATAGGCCCTAATTGTAAAAAAAAAGTGCATAGATAGACATGAGCAACTGTGAACATATGCACTGATGTAATGTAATAATGAATGTTTATAGGCCTAGAACTAGAATTATTTTGAAATGTTTAATGCTGCACACGTGTAAAAATGATGTACTATTTTAAAAAAAAAGGGGGGGTGATATGAATGATATATAGAGGATATTCAATGTTTTGTCGTTGAATATGGAAATGAATTTATTTCACGAGTGGGACAGAATTTTTTGATATTTTCACGAGTGCGAAGCACATGTGAAAATATTAAAAAAAGGCATAACTCATGAGTGAAATAAATTTCATTTTCAATGACAACACATTGAATTTTCTGTTTATTACCATTTTCTTTGATTTTCCCTTTGCACACATTTTTTTTTGTAATGCAGACTTTTAGGCTACAACTCGTCATAGTTAATCAGTTGAGACATCATTGCTGAGTGAGAAACATTGTAAACATGAATTTCAGCAACATATTTGGGGGAATGTTCGCTGTCTTTATCTCTGTCAAAATTGTCTATTAACTCGTTCTTTGTCTTATAACAAGCCAAGGAATATTTCTTACAACACTCTTTGTTATCGGGAGGAAAAGTCGTGAGTTTTCCCACACTTCTGATATTTGTCACAATTTGAAAGGATATCATTTTGATATCCTGTCACACTGTGACAGAACATCATTTTTATTCAATGAATAAATTACAGTATTACACTGGTAAAAATGTAATAAAATTTTACCTACATGATCTATTAGACGAATATTTATTAAAAAAAAAAAAAAAAAATCTAGTTAAGTTTATTTCATCCTTCTGAGCTTTTAAACAATTGTTTATGTTGTCATTATATTTTAACGGTAAGTGTAACCATGCCAGGTGTGTCCAGCAGAACCCCACGGAGGAGAGGTCCCCCCAAAACCCCAGAAAAATCAGCAGGGTAACTTAGATCTATTCATGATTTGGAGAGATTATTTGCATATATATAAAACATGTACATAAAGTACAGTGTATATTGTCTTTTAAATGAACCTTCGAATGGACAAATTTCAAACATTTTAAAAGAGAATGATTTATTATAAATACATAATACACATAATGCTATTTCTTCACAACAGGATGTCCACTACCCAGTTTTACAGTCCTAAAACTCCTGGCTGGGTGTCGGGAAGTCAGATGAAATTTGAGTTAGAAGAATCTCCGCTAAACAATGTTCGCAAAGGAAGGTGAGAATAAACTAACATGAACTTGTTCTAAATTTGCCCTGAAGGAAAAAAAAATTGTTGTAAAGTTATTATCTTAGTCTAAAAGGTGTGAGTTTTTCCTCTGTGGTTTTTTGTTATAAAGTAATACATGTAATTACAATACTTGTATAAAAATAAAGGAGGGCCTTTGTGGATAAGATTTTATCAGTATGTCAAGAGTTATAAAGTTATGTACAAGAGATTAAAAGGAAAAAGCAGAATTCAAGCAAGAGAAAATAAAAGCAGTTCGAAATAAAAAAAAAAGACATTGTTTTATTCAAAGAAAAAAAAAGAAAAGAAAAAGCACTTGCCGATTGAAAACATTCCATTGTTCAATACATATAAGATTAATTTAAAATCAATTATTCATTTTTGGCACTGATAGGATATTCATGTTCCATGTTATTTAGTTGGATATGGAATTTATTTCATGAGTAGGACAGGATTTTGGATATTTCTATGAGTGTAAAGCACAAGTAAAAAGATGAGAGGAAAAAAATCCTGTATCACAAATGAAAACTTGATGTTCACACCTCTGCCCATGAGGTTTTCAAGATCTATTAAAAGTGAAAATATTTCTCTTAACCTAAACATAAAAACAAAAATGATACACAGAGTTAGTTTTCATGCAAATACAGAGTCTACCTTGTATAAATATAATTTTCACCTATTTATTTGTATAAGATCTGATTTATGTATATCTATGGCAAAAACAGTTATTTTCACTGAACAAAAACTGTGTTTATTCCCCATTTACACTGTACATGCTGTAACAGTATTTGAAATTCATATAGTTTGTTATATCATTATAAACTCTAATGAATTCCGTAAAACATCCAGCTGCCCGAAATGTTTTTAAAAATCTTTCCATAGTGTATGCTATACACTCTGGAAAAATAAAATTTGTCGTAGAAGCAGTTGCAAAGGACTGAACATTTTATGATTTTTTATTCAATCTATATATATTTTTGCAGGAAATCAGTCATTCCAACAGGAACAGCAACGCAGAAAACCACCAACTCCAGGAGACACACCATGTTCAAACTCCCTGAGCCCATTAGGTCCTCTCCCATAGGTACCAGATCCAGACGGTCCTCCATATTCAACGTCCATAGCAGAAAAGGAGGGATAAGGCTAACCATTGCAGTGACCCCTCAGGAGAAACCAAAGAAAGGCCCAGGAAAAGTGGTATCCCCACCCGGAGTAAAGACGCGCACCAGGCGGTCATCTGTTTATCAGAAAGGTAAAACTCTACAGGAAGCTTGTTCTCAGGTCCAGAAGACGGTAGCTAGCGGTCAAACCAGGAAAATGACAGGAACCAAGGAAAAAGAAGAAACTGCAGAGACAAAGAAGCCAGTGTCAACTCGCAGGTCTGTATGTCCAAAATCACCCGAAAGGTCTTCTTCTAGAACTTCTCTACATGGAAAAGTTTCATCTCCACAATCGAATGAGGCAGCAAGTAAAAGAAAATCTGTCCAACCAAACACATCAAAATCTGAAGAAAAGGACTCAAACACGCCAGTGCAAAAGAAGCTGAGGAAAACACCAAGACGATCTGTTGCCAAATCCAAAGAAGAGCCCAAAGTTGTTCTTGAGAATGTGGAAGCTGTATTCAAGACTCCTGCTAGACCAGTATACAGTGCCTCAGAGGATACACAACCTGTCTCCACAAGAAAACAGAGGGGAAGTGTCAAAAAGACCCCAGTGAGTCAAGCTTCAAAGTCTATGGAGGATGTTAAACCTGGCTCACCAAAGATTACACCTAGAAGTATAAAGAAGACGCCAGCCCAGTCTGCCTCTAAACAACTCAGGTCTGCATCGAAGAGGAAGAGCAGAACTCCAGCCTTATCAAGAAGCACCAGGAAGAGAAATGTTGAGCAATCAGACGATGACAGTGAAGTAAATGATACAGACTCAAAGAAGAAATCCAAAGTGACATTGACACCAGAACTGAAAGAGGACAAAAAGACTCCAAAAAGTCCAAAATTGACAGTAAAACGGAAAATGGATCTTTCCACAGAGACCCCTCAGGTTAAGAAGGTCAGGCTGACTGAGGCAGTGTCAGCAACCTCTTCTGGAAAGTCCGCAAAGTCTGCACGGAAAACTCCAGCTAAGTCAAAAAGTAGTGTCGACGGTAAACGTGGAGATACTTCCCTTGATGAGTCCATGGAATTTAAAACACCCATGAAGACTCCAAGATTAGCAAGGTCTGCCAAGAAAACAACTAAAATGTCAGCAGATATGACACCTCAGGTTAAACTGACAAAGATCTCACTACCGAATGAAGATTCCAATAAAGAGAAAGAATCCAAAATTGAAACTCAAGAAAACCAAGATGGAAATTCTCAAAAAACTGTACAGGTTGTCTCCCCTGAGATGAGCTCTCCTTTGCCTCATAGTGGAAAATTGGCAGAAAGAAAAGGTACCCCAGCGAGAGTACAGCCTGATGCTGTAAACAGGGAGGTGCTGCTGAAAGGGAAGAACAAAAAGGAGAGCAAAATCAAGAAACTGAAAACTAAAGAAAAAACTAACTCAACAGTGACATTGAATGGCAGTCTGAACACCTCTGCTCACACCAGCATGGGTGCAAAATGCACCATCTTGTAATTGGAATCTCATGTTATACATGATTATCAATAGAGTTTTAATATCTCAAATTTGCTTGTATCTCTAGTGTATCGGTATGTAAAAGTACATGTATTGGAATTCATTCTCTGGTAGTAAGCAATGAAAATAAATCTGTTGAAATTCTCTCTAGGATAGGATAATGTATCATATGATAGATATTCCAATCCGTAATTAAATTTTCCTGTCTCATCTAATCAGCTTTTGAAGATGGATGAGATTTTGTGTTATTTTATTTTCAACTTGAAAGCAAATACAAGTGTGTTAAATTGATTTTGATATGTGTCAGATATGTTTTGTAACTTTTGACGGATGCTCTTGTATATACAAAAGTTGTTTCTCTATATACTCAGGTTTTATGTTAGTTCAGTAGCCATATTTAGTGCACATATGACTTTGTAAAGACTGTATATTTGATTTGTAAAATAATTGTACATAGAACTGTATAAAAAAAGTTTTAGTTAATATAAAATAGATTTTAAGATAGTATATACATGTATTATAATTTTTAGGTTTAGATTTTAATAGTTAATTTTGGTGCAATTTTTAAAAGACATCTTCTACTTTTATTTTATGTATGTTTCTGGTTTTAATTTTCATCTTTTACAACTGTCATAAAGTACAAATATCAAGATTTTTTCTTCCTGTTAAAAAGAAAAAAGAAGTGTGACAATCATTTTTGTATTAATCCTATTTAATGTAACTGTCCTTTCCCTTTTCATCATTATCATTAATTATATTCATTTTGGACTGAGTTGGTGAATGTAACTTCATAAAATCATTTTCATTATTATGTTGGTTTTGTCATCTTACATTATAAGTTATTTTTTTTTAAAAGTTCATTGAAAAAGTTTTGTGTTCTGTTTTCTTTGAAAAATTGTAAAATAATAGTGAAAGCTTTCCAAGAAATAGACCAAAATTTGAAATATTGTTTTAATTGCCTCTCTTCTCGATTCTCTCCTATAAAAATATTTAATTACTCTCTCAAGCCATTATTAAAACCAACAAAAAACCCCATAGAATTTTAAAAATACTGACTTTAATGAAAAGCCTGAAACATCATATCATGTGTGAGTGGCCTGTCCTTGTTTTGGGTTGATTGTGCTCGGAGCATGCTCTGGATTAATGAATAAGTTGGGAAACTTCGTTAGTACATGATATCAGGATATTACTGTCATAAATAAGATGATGGAAAAATTTGAAAACTAGATTGTCATTATACACTTTAAATATTAGTTGGCCTTTGTCGTCAAAAGTCGGAACAACATCCAAATATGAAACAAAATGGCAGCCTACGGCATCTTTTAGTTCTAATTCAAGGGATATATATAAAATACATGGTTACTGTCTTGAGATATAAGTGATATTTGGGCGAGGGTAAGAAAGCGTGATAGAGGGCGAGGCTTGCCAAGCCCTCTTACGTTTTCGACCCGAGCCCAAATATCGCTTATATTTCAAGACAGTTATCATGTATTTTGTTTATCCTGCAACAAAATTTTACATTTGAGCGTCCAAAACAAGCTAATTCCGACAGATTTAGGCACATCTCTGCAGTTGAAACTATGGCGCCATGGCGTAAACATTGCAGTATACGTGACGTCACAATTCTTTTAGAACGTCGGAATATATGCACGAGGCTTTATTAGGGCAGTGATCGGATAAAGCTTTGGTTTATTAGGTTACCTTTATTAGGTTACCTTTATTAGGTCAATGCAAGGGGTAGTTGCAGGATAAATCACTATAACTATTGTTTGATTATTAATTGTGGATATATCTGAATGTCAAGTTGAATGCCATGGCAAGTGCTTTCTTGTCTGTAGAAGTTTTGAAATAATTTGTTTGATAGGAATACAAAAACAGGATGGTCAATAAAGGAGCAGAATTAGTACCCATTGGAATTCCTACAGTTTGTTGGAAGAGACTATACATATAGATGTCAGTGAGAAATTCCAATATCTTTTTTAATATCACATTCAGAGTACTTACAGAATTGAATGAATTTTTTTTTTGAAAAAAGTTATTATTTTGTTGATGACCGAGCAGAATATTGCTCGAGTTTTGTTTTTTGTGTAGAAGCTGCTGACTGCTTTACATGTATCAGAAAGCCTAGTTTTTAAAATGTCTAAATTCTGAACTTTGGATTCGGATAAGCTGAGTACATATTGTATATAAAAATTATCTTTTTGGGTGGAGAATATAAGTGTTTGCTTATGAGCATGATTTTTTTAGTGGAAAATATAATTCTTGCAAAAGAGATATACTACAATTAAAGAACAATATGCCCAATCACGAAACTTAATTTTGGCAAAGGGGGGGGGGGGGGGGGGTAACGTACGTATTGTTTCATAGAAAAGCTTCCAATCAACTCAAGATGGGTCCAGGTCATCTTGGGGAGTCCAACAAATTTAAAGTGATTCTTGGAATAATATAGGCCTACCTTTTAAATGTACTGAACCACGTTGCACTGACCTCACTTCCCCCTGTGAAATGCTATTTCAGCCTTACTTTTGCAGGAAGGGGGTTAAACATCATCCCATTTCGAAGATTTTTAAAATCTGTTAACATTCATTCAATCAGTTACGTTACATATCAGTGGCGGATCCAGAAAATTTTGAAAGGGGGGGGGGGCGACCAGTTTGAGATCAGAGTAGGGGCCCACGACCACGCCAAAAAAAAACGTTGATTTATCAACTACTATGTATTTGTTTGACTCAAAGGGAGGGCCCGGGCCCCCTGCCCCCTCTAAATCCGCCAGTGCATATGCATAACTTCCAATAATTTGGAGGGAGGGGATGATGTATGGCATACGTATATATTCATTTCATTTTATTTGAAACATGAATTCAAGCAATAAGGACCAAAGAATTTTACCATTATATATTAAATTAAAGATTGAATAGTTGAATAATTTATGGTAATGAGCTTATAAATGCCGTTTGCGCAAACATTCAACTTAATTCCTGAAGGTCCTCTAAACAAACACTTTAGTTAACATGGTGAACGAAACCAATTATTACAATTTTCATATTTTTATACTATCAAAATTTGAAGTATACATGTAAATGATGCTACTTTCCTGTAATCTAAAAAAATGAAGCAACCGGGGGAGGGGGCTCCCAAAAACTTGTTTCCAAAATAATATTTTCAAGTTTACTATTGAAAAAATGTTCTTTGAAAGGCTGCCCCCCCCCCCCCCATAACCCCCACAGTAAAGTCAAGACAAGGTATATAATTATAGTTTAGCTGGTATTGTATGAATAAAATTTCGTAGTGAAAGAAATTGAACCCACCCTACCCCCAAAATAGAATTATTTATTTTGATTTATTTATATTACATGTATTTTTTTTTTTTTTGCTTGATAATTTTTTTTTCATGCAAGTCATTTTTTTCTCTCTCCCCTCCGCACTTTCAAAACTTTATAAACGATGAGCTACGTCACTGTAAAAACTGATTATACCCAAACAGAACCAAGTTCAAGTTCCAAAAATTATTTCAATAAAATAAAAAGATTATAAATCCAATCATTCATGAATTTTTCAATGGATTCACACGTGTACACATGCCCCAAAAGAAATAGATTAGATAATGTCATAGTGCAGTTTATCTCTACCTGTGGTGTATAGCAACCCAAAACTTTCAAAAAGTGAATAGCGACCCAGGATTTAAAGTTAACAAATGCAGAGTGCTATCTTAGTTAAATCTGCATCGAGTTTGAGACAGATCTAGGGTGTTCCATATAGTTACCTAGAACAACGGAAAAATCTACAAGCCTATTTTCTCTCAGTTACCAAATGTTGGGTGCTGGAGGTTACCACAGTATTATAAAGTGCAATTTGTTGTAATGGATCTAATGTATAATAATATGATTCTGAAAACCGTTTCATGGATCGAATATGCTCGGATTTTAAACTTGAGTCATTTATGAAGAAGAATTTTTTATTACGTCGAACTCGAAGTGCAATAAATACAAATTATGGAGATGCAGTCACATGATCGAAAAATGGCGCCCTCCGGTGGTTCGAAGGAACATCCCGTAAAATCGGAAAGTAAACAGTCGATTGTCTCCAAACCAGACGAGCAATACGTTGTATATGCACGAAGATGGTTCATTCTTTTAGTTATTGTCATTTTGAATTTATCAAATGCTATGGTAAGTGGTGTTTTTGTAAAGGAATGTTTTGTCTAGGTAACCGAACTCATTCTTCGACAACGAGAGTTTGTTATCAAATCAGGACTTTAAGCACGTTGAGGGGTGACAGAAGTCAATCAGACCAGACTATACATTTGTCTTGTAGCTACCAGTATATCTTTGTTTACACAATATGTAAATCAGAAAGCTGAGATGTAGTGTTTACAATTTATCAGGTCCAGAGAAATCACTACATTTAGCTATGTAGCCTGAATTATATAATCAGGGCATTAAGCATGGGGTAGCCATCTTTAGTTATTTTGTTGTAAGTTTTTGCAACATTGCTTTTTCAAATTAAATAAAAATTCACAAATATGTTTTTAGTACAATCAGGGACCTATCTACTAACGGGATAGGCAACTCCTTCATCGCCATGTTTATCTACCCAAAACATCACGCACAACACTACAAGTTTTTCAATTTACGTTTATTCCCAGTAAACAGGATGTTTTCTGATTATTATCATTTATTCCTTTTATGTATTGGAATTGATTTATTAATAAATTTTAAAGCATAATAAAAGTATAATTTAAATAATATGTTGACGGTGCGACCGTTAGAGCGAGCGCAAACTCTTCTGTTACATTTGGAGCGTCTAGACTCTGACGTCACATGACGTCGTATGTAAGTTACAAATACGAAGAAAAAACTGAACAGTGCTGAAAGTTAATGAAAAAGTTACGTTTACTAATTTATCTTCTATATGTATCCATTTAATCAAGGTGAGTAAACTTTTTGTTGAACATTTGCCGTCATTCTCGCGAGAACGCAACTTTACTAAGTGATGCATTGTGGGTCAAAATTACTGCGGCAAAAAATTCTAAAGAATGAATGTGCAATAGTCCGAATTTTCTCTTTGCCCAGGCGTTGTCGTTAGAGCTCGCAGTTACGAGCGTTGCTTTGTGACGCTCGCTGCGCTCGCTATAAAGAAAACAAACACCGAAATCGGCGATTTCTCGGAAATATGGCGGATCGGGGCATGTGCTGATTTTGCATAAAACAAAATTACTACTAAGATAAGGGTTATAATATGTGCTAAAAACAAATCTTGAATTATTTTTTGACAGATAATTAAAGGTTTTGATCTAAAATATGCGATAGCATTGGAGATATAATTAATTAAAGTTGACTTACGAAATCTCACGACTTACGAGATATCGCGAGACTCGCGGTAGTTGCCTATCCCGTTAGTATGTAGGTCCCTGGTACAATCTAGAGAGAGCTGTTATATATTTAGTATTCACTGTACGAGTTTCTATAGTTGTACTGTGGCAAGAATAACTTAAAAAAAAACTTACCCTAAGTAAATAAAAAAATTGATACCAAAAAAGTAACATGGAAGTATTAATTTTGTGATTGTTGGCAGTAATATTGAATTTGGTGCACTTTATTGTAGACATGGATTACATTTTCCCCAATAGCTGACCTCACCAGTACATATTATGATGTGAATGCATTCAAAGTAAATATACTATCCCTCATCTTCATGGTGGCATCTGTCCCTTTTGGTTTCACTGCCTCCTGGGTTCTAGACACTTATGGACTGCGTACCAGTGTAAGTGTTACTGACAAAGTCACTTTTACTATGTGTAAAATGAATCACCTTGTTTGTGTTTTTTTCACATGCCTGCATTGGTTTAAAGTGGGTTAGAAATGGTGTATACCATGTAACTATATGTTTTTTTCACATGCATGCATGTGTATAATGTTGATAAGAAATTAAATAGTACCTGACTAACATTTTAGAAATGGAATGGCAATGGATTTGTTGGAAAAAAAAATAGTGATAAGAATTGAATTGAATCAGTGATGCTCAGTTATATATTAATTTTAATGAACAGATACTATTGTCAGCCTGGTTGAATGGCATTGGAAATCTTTTGAGAAATGTGAGTACATTTGGAGGTATACCAGGTGACCTAAGGTTTTGGATCCTGCTGGCGGGACAGACTTTAGCAGCCATTTCTCAACCTTTTGTGATGTTTGCACCAACCAAACTGGCGGCTATGTGGTTTATGGACTCTCAAAGAGCAACTGCAAACATGCTGGCCTCCATGGGTAATAAATTATTTTTATATTCATTGAATTCAGTCTTAATAATTACAGAGAGAAGTTTATCTGGTCAGAATCTAGTTCTCTGTTTTTTTTCAAGGTTAAAAACATATTGATCTTTGTGTGTTGTCTTCTTTGTTTTGCTTGATGTTGATGGTAAATATTGCATTGTATGATGCACTGGATCAGGGAAAGTTTGAGAAATATTTAAAAACAGATTCAAATAAGGATTTATCAATACAGTTACCGATATCTTTAAGAAAAAAGCTCTCAAATGTATTCAATCTTGAATATACCCAAAGAGGAATATTATACAAAGAGATACATGTACTTCAGATTGATCAAATTTCCTTATTTCAAACAGGGTGGGACTAAAAAAAAAGGATGATGTCTGAATGTTGGAAATACTGTAAACATACATGTTGTTTAAAGACTTAAGTGCACTGATTTATTACTTTTTTGACTTAGCTAACCCACTAGGAATATTAGCAGCTAACTTGATAGCACCTGCAATGGTCAATGGATGCAACTCCGAGGAACTTCCCAGAGCTGTGAGTAACACTGAATTAAAATTTACTTAAACTGATAGATAGCCAACTAAGAAAACCATTACTCTTCTGATTTTTGTTCACAATATTTCGTTAGCTCTGGGTAATATCCTCGCCAGCATTTTTGGTAGTTATCTTGGCTACTTTTGGAGTGTGTTCCTCCGTCCCTCCCACCCCTCCTACAGCCAGTGCAGAGGAGGATTCAGAACCATTTAAGGAGGGGCTCAAAAAGGTTTGTGAATTGATTTTTAAGGGCATTAATTCATCTATTTAAAAGTGTTTTTTTTTCAATAAGCATTAAAAAATTATCACACATCCACATATCAAAGTCTTTACAGTTTCTGCATGTACAAGTGTATATAGAGAAGATGTTCAACATAAGAATAGATTTACAAAAAGCAGACATCTTTTTCTTGGACAGATTGTGAAGAGCAGAAACTACTGGGTGTTGTGTCTTAGTTTTGGCACAGGATTAGCAGTATTCTCAGCGGTGACATCATTCCTGGACCAAGTCTTGTGTCCAAGAGGTTATTCTAATGTAAGACACAAGACTTATAAATTAGATATTTAGTACACTCTTTGCGGTATTATTTTCATGCCACTCTATTTTTTATTTTTACATATTTTTTGACAGAATGATTTAATAAAATGTAGACATTAAACTGTTATGAAATTCCTGATAGAGGCGTACCATATAACTTTCTCATGAAAATAAGGTATTGCGAAAATTTGATTATCCGCAGTACTGCCTTTACCTGTTATTACATGTACTTGATAATTAAGTGAAATTCAGAAAATGGAGAGAGACTTGCCTATAAAGCATAAAAATTTAATTTTTCAGGACTTTGCTGGATTGTGTGGAGCTCTGATGATTGTAGGTGGGGTAGTGGGGGCCATTGTTGCAGGGATATACGTCGACAAAACCAAACGATTTGAAGAAGTGGTCAAGGTGTCTTATGCAATAGCAGTAGTATTTGGAGTTGGATTTTTTGAGGTATTACATTTATCACAAATCTCGCTTGAAAGTATTACACTTCGGCCAAAATAGCGTTGCCTTGAGTGATGACAATTGAACAATTTGAATCATGAATTTCATTTTATAAAACAAGCGTTTTAATTGGTTGATTAGGACCCGACCACTCTCGTGCGGTATCCTTTGCCTGTATAAGAGCGTCCAACGGCCTAGCGAATAGCCATGTTTGATTGTCGGAAAGCATTGTTGACTTTCTGAAGAAAAAAACACAAAAAAGCAAACAAAATATAAATAATGCTTAGCATGTGATTTATTCCTTACGCAGACGTTACATGAATACATTGTATCATTCAATGGTGCACAGTATTTCTGCCGATTTCCTATTTACATTTTTACATTTTATAGGTGTTTGTTCTGTGCGACTTTTCAGTGCATTGAAAATATATTTTTCCTCCATGTTTTAGTCAAAAGTGAGCTATTTCATTGCAAATACAAGCAAATTTAAAACGGGGGTAATACTGGAAATCATGCGATTACCCAGCTGATAACAAACCACTTGTTATTCAGTGAATAAAAATATAAATGCATAGGTGGTAAAACACGAAAAACATTGGATTTATTCAAAAGTTTACTGTTTTATTGTCACGACTGTCAAAAATACCATATGTTTTAAATGCATGTGTGCTACTACATACCCATTTAACCGTCGTCATGGCAATAAACATGCGACCAGAAAAATCTAAATCCTTGTGCTTTTTTTCAGGCAGTGCAATTTTTACTGTCACTGCGAATATTATTCATTAAAGATAAGAAATATCACTTATATAAATAATATATAACAACATTTACCTGTTTTCTACAGCTGTCTACCTTTCTTGGAAACATTCCATATCTTTGGCTTTACCTTTGAGAAAGTGGTCGGGCCTATAAAAGAGCATCAGTCAGATTCTTTGTTGAATTTCACATTTGAAGATCAGTAAGATTCAATTGTATTTCAGTCAGATTCATCAGTGTCATCACTCAGTGCATTATAATATCGGTCAAAGTGTATACTTTCGAGCAAGATTTGCGATAAATTTAATATACAATAATATTGTTCATCCATGGCTAGGATTAAAAAAAATCAGAAAACATGAAAAGTTTTATTAGACTTTATTTACTGATATATGTGTATGTAAACAGGTTAAAAAGAATTCATGTCCAGTCCTTGATTCAGTCAGGTGTGTTCACCTAGCAGACCATAAAAAATATGAACAGTAATTTAAAAATCAACAAAAATCAATGTTAATACACTAGTTAGTTTGTTTAAACTTTACAGAAAAAGATCTTTTTTACTTGCTATTTTTCAGATGGCCAGATATAAAGATCAAGAAATACTTATAGCAGTGATGGTGACTGCATTTGGAACTTTTGCTTTTGCCATGTATCCAATATCTATGGAATTAGCAGTAGAAATTACCTACCCTGTTGCGGAAGCAACAAGCTCAGGTCTTTTAATTGTGTCAGGGTAAGTAGAGATTCTTTTCAATATTTTAGGCTCTTGAGATGAAAAAATGAGGAGACAATAAATTGAAATATTATTTCTATCCCACTTTAATAACTTTCAGACTATTATAAATATACATTAAGAGCCTGTGCATTTGAGCTGAGAAAATGAACTGTTTAAGATCAGATTAATATAAAATTTTGAGAAGATGAAAGCACTGGATTTGATTTGTCCCAGAACGTGAAATATATACAGCTATAAATGGATAACAATCATTTATTTTTGTGTAATTCTGTATTAGCTCATGAACCACAGATGACATGTTTACAATATTTATTCAGTGATTTAGGGATGAATGCTTCACCGACACGTGAAGTGATAAAGTTTTATCCTACGCAGCACAGTTAAGGTTACAAATGGAAATATCTGCGATTTTTTAACATAAAAAATACATACTTTATTAGGATGGGCGATTCTTTTTAGGACTTCACTGATATCAAAAAAATGTAATGTGGTTTAAATCTACATGTTGGGGAAATTTAGATTTTTTATTTAGACTTGTCACGTGATGTCGACGTCACATGATTTTTGCAATTATACTTGCAGTTTAGAGGTCATTTATAAATTCCAATATTGCAAGGGCATAACCAAATTAAAAATCTTAGTTTAATTTATAATCCTTTTCAACACTATATGTAGTTAGTGGAAAATGCTGCGAACCTATATAGATTCCCTTTTTAATTGCGCAAATTTAAGTTGTTGGACGGCAGGTTGAATATTTTGCTGGTCAACTACATTAAATATAGCTATAATTAATTTATTTGCAAGATTTCATGAGGTTCGCAGCACGTTTCAAATATCCTAATGCTTCTTGAGTTTATGTGTAAAAACTTGGCAAGATACATCGAGAGTATGCCCTTGCAATAAATCAATTTATTAGGGCCCTTCCATTACTTTTTCAACGAAACTGCATACAAACACACGACAGTATCACGTGTATGGAGAATGTACGGACAGTTTATAAATAAAATACTAAAATAGACATCGCGTCTAAATTAACGGCCTTTTATTTAATTGCAAATAATATTTTATTTAAGAACAAAAGACATTTTTCATTGTACAAAATGTGACTTGATCAGCCTCTCACTATGTACAAACTACGTCATTTTGACAAATGCATTGCGATCGATGCATCGTTTATATACTGTTGTGTGGGATTTAACAAACATCAAAACTGCATGTAATAGTAAGTTTGTATGTAGTTTACAGCTATCCAGCTGTTTGAAATAGCAAATAATTTCATTTTGTGGTATTTTGAAGACCTTATATTATGCGTGACGTCATAGTAAACATTTCCCGTATAAATTAGGCCCCGCCTCCTTACTGTAACCTTAACTGTGCTGCATATTGATGTGGCAATAGGTGCAGATTCTCAGGTTCACACCATTCTATCTTACTTAAAAATGTATTAAAAATGCATCAAGATGAAGATCATACCTGTATTACACGTGCTATACCTGTCCTCTAGACAAATCCAGGGGATCATTATTATTCTGGTGACCCAGTTACTGACCCAGCCTCTTTCTGATTCCCAGTTAGCTGACTCAGCATGTGCACAAGGTTAGATAACCATGTTTTCAGTCTTCTTATTTCTTGAATACATTATAGATTAATACATGTATGTACCACTTGCAGGCCCTATTTTTAAAACTGCGCCATAAACATCCTAGAAAATGCTACTACGGAAACATTATGTGATATACATGTACCAAAAATATGTTTTCAATTCCCATTGATAATTTTAATTAAATGATTAATATGAATAATAATACAGAAAAATACATTTATGATCATTCTATGACATTTGTTGACATTTGTTTGAATAATAATACAGAAAAATACATTTATGATCATTCTATGACATTTGTTTGTTTACATTCTCTTGAAATCAGGATCTGGTTGCAGTAGTAGTACATCAGATTCCTTCACACCTCAAGACTGGACAGGTAAGTCATAAAGGGAGGAGGGTGATAGAATTTTGTTAAATGAAATGATTTTTGCACAAGTTTTCTCATTTTTGTTTGTTTTGTTTTTCAGTTCCAGGACTTTTTATGAATGCCTTAACTGCGGTAGCTGCTTGTTCTGTGATTTTATTTATGAAGGGAGACTACAAAAGACTGAAGGCAGAAAAACAGTTAAATGCTCAGCGAGTCTTGAACCAGAGCTTAAGTAATGTAATAGATGTCACCCTGGACGTCCACACGGGGGAAAATGTGACATAAGTGTCCACTTGCTTTATAATTTCAAATTTTCAGGAGAAATAAATCAGGGATGATTTGGAATAGTGCTATGTGATGCATGATGAAACTGTGCAGTTACACCAAAAGATGTAGTTTTTGTGATCAGATTATTTTCTTTGAATCAAAGGAATATGTCATTTATAGAATTTTACCAATTCTTATATCTTTTGTAATGTTATCTAGATAATTTGTTTTTTTAGTTTGAGATGTACATGTGCATGTGTATAGTACCAATTTAAATTTTGAGACCTTTTTTCGAAAAACAAATGCTGATTTACTCAACGTATATAAAAGGCTACATGTGTTGGGGAGGGGGGTGAATGTTAACTGATACTTGAAAAAAAGTAGGTTTCTGTACACAGTGTAGACAAGGTCTATGCGGTAGACATGTTCGAGAGTAAATAACAGTTTTTAATGCTAAATTTTGAACATTGATGAACAGTTTAAATCATTGCTTAATATGAATAATTAACATACTTAACATTTTAAGGCAAAAGAAATTTGTAAGGAAGGGAGCACAACCTAACAGTACAGTCATGTAAAAGCTATTTTGACAAGGCTTTATTCACAGATAAAATTTATAATCTTTTAAACAGGTGTTTTAGTGCTGACAAGATCTTTACTTCAGTAGTGCTTGATTTTGACATTGGTGATGAATAGAAACTATACCCTGCTCAAAACCCTTGCTACTCCCACCTCCATTTTGGTGAGCAGCTGGCAACAGACACAGTCTGGCTAACAGAAGAGGTACATGTATGCAATGTATTTGACTAAACAGGGCAGTTAGTCTCTGCTTAACTACCCACATCCTTGTCTTTTGAATTCTGCCAAAATTTCCCTATACATTTTCCATTGAAATGTGCACAAATTTTACCCTAATTATCTGGTCAAGTCCCTTAAAGGTCAGTAGTTCTTATCATATCATTGACCTTCTAAACTGTCTTCCTTGACACTGCATGTGTTCGATTAGTTGCTTTGTGAGATGAAAGTTTTTTTTTTTAGTTTAAGGTACAAAAGCCAAAAATTGCCTTCAAAGTTTATGGCAAAATAAGCTCAATTTGAGCAAAAAATATAATTTAGAAAAATAATTTAATTACAAAAATAATAATTCACTGGAAAAAATGCTTATATTTTCCAAAAAACATTTAATAATATGGATTCTGTTATTTCTGATTTAAAATATTGTTCAATGAAACAATTCACAAACATTTTTTTTATAGAGAATAGGTGTTTTGTAAATTAATCTTAGCTTATGCATTTGTCACAATAAACAAATTATTATTAACACTTAAAGTACTGTAGACGAATTTTTTTCTACAGGGTCATAATTCCGCAGAATCTCAATTTCTGTTTACTCTGCGGGAAGAACATTACGGGGATTTCTAAGACTGTCACTATAATTATGCCTTACATTTATATTAAGTACGCTTGGACAAATTTCCACGGAAAACTTGTGACCGCGTACATAGCGTAAATTAATACCATGCGGAAAAGAGTACTTCTACAGTATTTGTTTAAGGGAGGAGCATTTCATTAAAAACCTGTCTACAAGGGATGTAGTTCATTTTGGCGCCTCAAAGTATACAGAGAATAAAAAAAATAAGGCTGTCCTCAATTATAAGGAAAATGGTTAAAATATTTTTATCTCATAAGTCGGTAGGATTAGTAATAAAATAAAAATTTTGAGATATCTAAAGATTCAAGAGATACATGTAGAGGTTGAAATACACAACAGAAATAGTTGTTGGGACTTTAAACTTTTGTGGACATTACCAAGGTGTTCAATTGTCATTGTAATTAACATTCATTTTGATCACTTTTTATAAAGTTAGGTTTTTTGTGTCTTAGGCACCAATGCAGTTTACACTGTGTGTGAAAAACAATCATAGAAATGCCCTTTCTAACAGGTTTAGCTACATGATCTTGACCAAAAAAAAAATCCTGTCATGGATTTTCTGTGATATACTGATTTTAGTTTTAATATATACTTAATGTTTGTTTATTCACAATTTTTTTTATTACATTGACAACATGAATGCATTCAGTATAAAAAAGTGCTTCTTCAATAAAACGAATAAAACCATGCACTCTGTTGTTTTTTGTATTACCTATATGTTACAGTGTATTGTCTTATGTACAGTGTATTGAGTTATAGGATATGATGGATTGAATACTTTTAGAACAGAGCAGGTTAAAACACCAAATAGTTAGCTTATGTATACATTACTTAAGGAGTTGAATTAAGAAAAATTAAGAGCAGAAAGTTTCATAGAGGTTTGTATGGTGTGGGCAACAATCATCCTTGAATTTTCAACCGTGAGTAATGAAATCAAAAGCTTATGTTAGTTGCAACCCAAAAGTGTCATCATAATTATATTAAAGAAATTCTGAAAAGTTATTGAAAACATACATTTATGATAACCTTTCTCCATAGAAAAGTATTTTATAGAAAGTCTGAGGAGAAAATCTAGTCTTGAAAGGTCAGCTATAGTACCTGATAAAGAGTAAAAGAAACAAGAGGCCCAGGGGCCACAGCGCTCACCTGAGCACATCAGGCTTGAATTTACTCCCCCCCCCCCAGGCGTTCATTATTTGAACAAACTAGAATCTACACTACCTGAGGATGATTCCATATAAATATCACTAATCATAGCTTTGAAGTACTTGAAAAGAAGATTTTAAAAGGTTTCCCTATATATCCCTATATAAAACTTGGGTAGGCCATTTTGGCCCCACCTTTGCCCCGGGGGTCATGATTTGAAGAAACTTGAATCCACACTACCTGAGGATGATTCCACATGAGTTTCATCTTTCCTGGCCAAGTGGTTCTGGAGGAGAAGATTTTTAAAGATTTTTTCCTATATATTCCTATGTAAAACTTGGGTCGGCCATTTTGGCCCCACCCTTGCCCCGGGGGTCATGATTTGAACAAACTTGAATCTACACTACCTGAGGATGATTCCACATGAGTTTCATCTTTCCTGGCCCAGTGGTTCTGGAGAAGAAGATTTTTAAAGATTTTTCCTATATATTCCTATGTAAAACTTGGGTCGGCCATTTTGGCCCCACCCTTGCCCCGGGGGTCATGATTTGAACAAACTTGAATCTACACTACCTGAGGATGATTCCACATGAGTTTCATCTTTCCTGGCCCAGTGGTTCTGGAGAAGAAGATTTTTAAAGATTTTTCCTATCTATTCCTATGTAAAACTACGGACGGCCATTTTGGCCCCACCCTTGCCCCGGGGGTCATGATTTGAACAAACTTGAATCTACACTACCTGAGGATGATTCCACATGAGTTTCATCTTTCCTGGCCCAGTGGTTCTGGAGAAGAAGATTTTTAAAGATTTTTCCTATCTATTCCTATGTAAAACTTGGGTCGGCCATTTTGGCCCCACCCTTGCCCCGGGGGTCATGATTTGAACAAATTTGAATCTACACTACCTGAGAATGCTTTCACATGAGTTTCATCTTTCCTGGCCCAGCGGTTCTGGAAAAGAAGATTTTTTAAAAATGCCATTAATTTTTAACAAATTCATGATTATCTCCCCTTGGAAAAGGGCGTGGCCCTTCATTTGAACAAACTTGAATCCCCTTCACCCAAGGATACTTTGTGCCAAGTTTGGTTGAAATTGGCCCAGTGGTTCTTGAGAAGAAGATGAAAATGTGAAAAGTTTACGACGACAACAACGACAACGACGACGACAGACAACGGACAAATTTTGATCAGAAAAGCTCACTTGAGCCTTCGGCTCAGGTGAGCTAAAAAGTGTAACTATCAATTCATCCTCAGTTGAAACCATGCAGCAAATGAAGAATTTTATCTCAACTGCTTTAACTCCCAGACCTTTGAGTTTAATATAGAGTTAAAGATGAGATGACACCACTAACATCAAATGTGTGAGGTATCAAATTTTAGCCAGATGATTGGCCAATATTTAAGTCGGCTTAAAAAATGAAGCTCTGGTCATCATACATTATATGACAACAAATACTTTAGTAGTTGAATTATATGTGTTATTATAGAAACATATTTTTTTCTCTCAATAGGAGGCATGGCCTTGACCTTTGTAATGTGATGTTAATTCATGATTATAACAGTCAGTCAGTGTAAAATAAAACAGAAATGGGCGTGATAGAACCGATTGTCATAATGACCTTTAAGATAAAAGATTCAAAGTCAAGGCATTACAAAACTTTACAATTATACAATCACAATTATTCTGCAAGATTTTAATGAAATATTTTGTTTATAAGCCTAGTCAGAAGATGCACAATGACTATACAGACTTAGAATTTAATATTTGTAGTTGCACAACAGAAAACTAGTACTGATGATTCACATAAATTTATATTTCATATATTAAGATACAGAAGGTACAGAAGAAACTTTGTCAACAATATTGCGTAATTGAGTATAACGTCACATTAAAATAAATACAAGGAAGTTTAATATAAACTTTGTACAAAATGAGACAAAAAATGGCTCTCCCACATGAACATAATGCATCACTCACAGTCAAAGTGGCTGCCTTAAGGTTAACACTAATTTTTCACTTTCACCTCTCTGACCACTTTTACATCTGACATGCATTTCAAACATTTTAAAGCTGCAGAATTCTCTCCCTTTTACCGTCAAGTGCATTAACTATTTTTTGATTCCATCTAGAATTTGAGGATGTTCGGTCCAGAATTTTTCACTAATGATGTCACAATGGAGTATTTGGACCCGTGTCCGAGGAATATAATCGCCTTGGGAACTAAACGACACAGAATTCCGAGGACTTCTCTCCACAGGGGACAAAGAATTTGAGTCCAGCTCTTTTTCCTGAAATGTATTAACCAAAATTGAAAATATCTGAACAATTATTGAAGACTAGAACAAAAAAGTTTTAAGAATTTTGCTTGCACTAAGGCATGAATAACATTAGTAAAATTTACCTACAAAGCAGTCTTTTCAAACAAATTCAATACATATATCATAATTTATTACTATTAGTAAAATATGCTGTGTATTTGTGTTGGCCATCAATGAAATTTTCCTGACAAAAATTGAGTAATCTAGTGTATTTAAACATTAGTCAGACCTTTTGATGAATAATCACTGTCCCCTTCCTATACATTTCTGGCAAGTTATTGTAGTTCAGGTTGAATTCATTGAATAATATCTCATTTTTATCACTTGACAAGGTCCCCTGAAAAACAATGAAGATTTACTGGTATAATCTAATAACAAATTTGAAATTAGAAATATTGAAGCACACAACTGAGTTTATTTTATGTGATTTTTCGGTACATTTAGCAAAATTATATTTGCAAAAATGCTTGCATTATACTACGTACGGGTACATTTTATATAGTGATTAATACAGTTCTGACCTTTAACCTTTCCTGAGATTGGGCAGGGGTCAGGCCCCTTTCCTGGACCAACTTCCAGAAACAAGTGTTGTATAAATTGTTGATGTGACCTAGAAAAAAAATTATGATTGAAAAGTGCTAAATAAATAAATAGTTTTAGTTCAAAAACTTTGAGATCAACAATGTTCAAGTTTACATGCTCAAAAATGTTCAGTGCTGCACCCTTATGCTTTACAAATACTGTATTTACAGGACTATTTTCGTACCGCTTTATTTTCGCCCTTTCACCCTCGCAAACGATTTCGCCCTGTTTTAAATTCACCCAGTCAAAGTTTTGTTTAAGAAATTTTATTGTATTCTTTGAAATTGACCCTTTTTAACAGGGGGCGAAAATTTCCCTGAAATATAATATGTTTCAAAAATGCAAAAATTGGACTGCAGAGAAAAATTAACATATCTGATCTGGACACCAATGGTTCCATACTAAATTAGCCTGGTGAACATCATTCTGGATTAGATAGTAAATTGGAATAGACAATATTTTAGACAAATGAATTAACTGAAATGAACTGTTAAGTTTACATCCCATCACAAAAGAATGCAGAATATCCAGATGACATAGGTTTCACTGTATATTCCTTTGCACTGGCCACCTGTAACCTTGCAATCTATTGGTAAATAAGTAGTGTTTACCCATATAAATATTTATTACGCCTATGAAAATGTATGTACATATTATATAATTGATCTGTTTTCGACTTACAGTCTGCTTGTCTCCATGACAGATAGTCTCTGAGATTTTTATCACTAGGATACAAGACAACACGGCCATCAAAGGCTGGAGGATACTGCATGGACTGGGTGTTGAAGTATCGGGGCCAGTAGAATACATAGGACGAAGTGAACAGACTGACCACATTACTCATTATTTTACTGCAAAGAAATACATAAAATATATTTTTTAAAAAAAATTAACAAAACACATATCTAAAAAAAAATTCTACATATAGTATACAGCTTAACAATATTAAAACAGTACTCAGATAAAGCATTTACTTATAACGAAAAAAAAAAATGTGAACAAAAAGTATTTATAGCTCTCTGTTATGCACATGCATTATAAATGCTCATGTCAGTGTCAACTTTGAACTTTTGGAAATAGCAAGCAAGACACTTGAAATTCATATGAGCAATTTACAAACTCACTGAAAAACAGAACAACCAGGAAAATAATGCATTTTTAATGTTGCATCCTGTATACATATACATTTACTATGCCAAAATAAAATCTAGGGTCACGCACTAGTATGTGTGGCAAAGTATGAATTCAATATATCAAATCTTAGAAATATAGCAAGCATCTGATCACCTTCCTCTCCTGTTGAAGACATTGGTGTTTTTCTTGAAGACAAAACTGTACTCATCACTTTGTCCATAACAGAATACCACGTCTTTGTACTCGTCCATAACACACTGGGCAGCCCTGGTCATCAAGTTCAAACCTCGGTCATCATTGGGCTTCACAAAGTGGTGGACATCTGCAAATCTGTTAGATAAATAACATCATTTTACCATAGCAAAACTTAAAATGTATATATACTGTCAATTAAGTCATGTAATTTTCTTAATGCTAATGAATGAATATTTTTTTCCTTACCAGAAGTTTACTCCCTTTTTAAAAAAGTGTCTTAATAATTTCTGACCATTATATTACAGTGAATTACATTGAATTTGATCAATAGGAGATGATTTGAGGGAAAAATATAATATATCCTTAAAATATCAAGGTTGCTAAATGTAATATTAGTCAGGATTGACTGATCACTCAGATATCTACCTATTCAAAAATAGACACATAATCATTATTGTTTGTGTTTTTTCATCTGGTTTTGATTTTTAGATGGAAGCTAAACATATAAATTTGGAATAGCCTAAAGAAGTATATGCACTTGAGGCATTATATTACAGTACAGTATTGAGTAAAGGCATTCCTATAACAGAGATGTGGAGAGTACTGCTTTATTTCTGAGTAAGTGTACTCAGCATAAAACATTGATCTTAAAAAAAATATTTCTCCATTTCAAATACTGGTTAAGAATACAACATTTTGTTCAAGCCATTGGACAGTAAACACCAGAATGATGCCATAAAATTCCTACTCGATTCTTCAGCCTGATTTTACTTGTAAAGGAAATATGCTCTCCATATTGAAAAAATGTGATTTATGGGTGTAACTGTCCCTTTAATAGCTAATATACAACTCAATTAGAATTCTTTCAGGCTTAAATTAAATCTGCATTTCATATTCCTAATTTTAAGCCATTTATGTATCACAATGAAAACTTTAACATATTTTCCACGTTTTTATCTGGACTTTTTTTCCTGCTCTTGCATAAAATGGGTACAACATAGATAAACTGGGAATTAAAAGATGGAATCTTGTGTTTGATCCATTATGTCATGTTGGAACACACAGAATTTTTAAATGGCATGCCTCTGGGTGATTGCCAGGTAGAATTAATTAATCTCTTTCCTTCAAATAATATTACAACCACGGCCCTTCACTTTTAAATATGCCGTAAGATTTAATGAGGGTTTAGGATGTGAGGGGGATTTTTACACATTTAAACCATTCAATCAGAAATTTTAAATGGATTGATCTGTACTGCTAAAAAATGTGTCATAACATTCAAGATCAACAGAACTGAAAATTGTAATAGATCGGGGTATAAAATAAACAAAGAGATTTTTTCAGGTACCTGTTACTTCAAATGAAAACCACATAAAAACTGCCAGCAAAGAAAATAGGTTTTCTCTATGGATTTTTTATCTCTATGGATTTTTTAGAAGACAAAGCCTGCAGTGTATCGGTGATGCTATTACCATAAATAACTCAAATATTTCTGCTATCAGTATTTCAAAATATGGTATTCAATGATTAAGGCTGTATTCTCCCGCCCAGTTGTCATTCATTTGAAGAGAAATATCTGCATTTGACAGATATTCAGGAAATTTTGTAACAAATATCATATGTCTCTTTAAGGAGAGGATGGAAGAGAATAGAAAGTTCCCTGTCTGAATACAGAAGTGTCCATATTAAATTATTATTTTGTGAAGTTATGTTCAATTAAACCTATTCAAATCCAGATATGGACTAGCCTAGGGATTCTAAATGAAGCAACTGAGTTGTATATGCAACAGATATAACTATCTGAACATCAAAGGCGAATCCAGGGCAATGCTAATTTTTGTATTTAAAATTTATATTTCCATTATATTAAAATCAAGGAAAAACATCTCTTATTTGTAAGAACTTGTCAGCTTCCGCGGGCTTTGCCCCCAGACCCCCAAAGGACCTTGACTTAGACCCACTGTGGGCTTCAGTACAGTCACCAGACCTCTCTGCCTTCTACTGCGCCCCCCGTTACCAAATTCCTGGATCTGCCACTGAACATTATATGTCAATGCTAATATATGACAAAACTTCATTATTCACTTTTCCAGAAAATGATATACCATAAACAGGGAATATTTGCCCCCAATTTATTTTTGCCCCTTTCACCTTCATTGCTAGTGAGCAAATTTAAAACGAGCAAAGTCAAAGAAATCATCAGTGTCTCTTAAACACAGAAATGTGTCAAAGAGAATTCAAACTGGCGAAACTGTTTGCTGGTGGAAAGGGCAAAAATAAGATTGGGTAAAAATATATAAATTTTTATAAACTATTTACCTGTGGAAGGATTTTCCGTCCACCCTGATGACGATCCAGCAGTTTGGCAGACATTTATCCTCTGATTCAAACTGCTTCACATATTCAAACTTGCTCTTTGCCATTTCTCTGTTAAAATGTCTTTATATCTTTACTTCACTTCATCCTTGAAATTCTTACTACAAAAGATAAAAAGTTTGGTTGAAATTACTTCTAAGGAACAAATTGATTGCATATTTTTCAACTAAAGGCTTTACTAATTTCTTTCTTAATCAAAAAATTGATTAAGGCTAAGGAAATTGCCTTTTAGTATTAAATTTTCATTTAGGGTAATGCTCAAAATCAAATTCAATGGTGAATGTTCAAGTAGCCATTTCCTGGAATATGTTCAGTTTGGTGCTGATCAACAATTTAATATCAATTCTCTGTAATTATCAAAATGAGGTGGCCACTTTGTGTTACAGAATATGATCAAACTTTGTCAAAGAAATCTAAACATCACTTCTATTTGTAAAAAATGGTTTATTACTATAACAATGATTGCATTGTGTACTTGTTGCCATGGAAACATTTCAGACCCTAAAAATCGAGGTTTTTGAATAATTGGAATTTTAAAAATACCTTCTTCATTAACATGGTGAATTTTGCTGAAATGAAGGTGGAAAATCATAAATTAATTTTTGATTTTTGTTTCATTGTTTAAAAAAGGGTGAAAATATCAAATTTTAAAAATATCTAGTTTTCTTACATTCAAATAAGTCCATAAATTGTTGGATTTTTTATTATAATTGCACACTGATTCTGAGGGAATTTCTATTTCACATTTCATCTTTCCGATTTTTTAAACAAGATAAATGAAGAAAATTAATGGGACACCTAAGAGTTTTTTTTTTAAAGAAGTTTCTAATGTCCAATATTTCACCGCTTGTATACAGAGTTATCTGCCCTGAAGGAGCTCTTCTGGAAAATGAAATCACAAAAACTATATACATGATAAACAAACATGTCAGACGACAGTAGGCACAGTCTATTGATTTGATGAAAAATGGCATGTACTCCATGTAGCTTTAAAAGTTCAACCGTGTGTGAATGTACTGGCAAAAATTTGGCCTTAAATTTATATTCCGTAAAAGATCAGGAGATTATTTTAACTGAAGCTGGCGTTTTGGCCAGTGAGATTACAGAAAAGTTTGTTATATGTAGTGAACATTATAACAGGTCCAGTACAATCAGTACATTTAGCTACGTAGGTAGAATTACCTACGTAGCTTTATTTACCTACCTCAGGTAGCTTTATTTAGCTTTTTCAATGTAACTTTTCTTTTTATGGAAAAGAGACAAAAAATTGCAGTTAAATGACTATTGATATTTATACTAGGGAGACTTTAAAAAACATTCCAAAGCAGAGATAGTTTAAACATCGCTGTGTTTGGTCAATTTAGAGCAAAACATGTAATTCCATTGTTTGGTTATCTGTCCGTGCGGTGAGGCATGACTGAGTTTGATTACTTAACATTGTGCTAAATAATTACAGACCTATTATCATGTTGAGCAGAACTGGACTTCTTTGTCATTTCATTCAAGGAGTAACTGTTCCAACTGTCATACATAGCCCCAAAACTTTCAGAACTTTGATTGCAATTGCGCAGAAAAAGACATTTCTTCAAGAGGGAATTTTTCATGAATTGTTTTCAGATGAGTTCAAAGTTGAAAATGATCACTGCATCAAAATGATAGTTTTTGCACATCCTGAGAAAAATGCTTTTTTATAGAAGTAAATTCATTTGGTAGCTAAATCAAGCTACCTGAGGTAGGTAAATAAAGCTACGTAGGTAATACTACCTACGTAGCTAAATGTACTGATTGTACTGGACCTGTATAAAAGTTTTTCAAATCAAAACAGAAGTCGGAGCAAATCAAAATTATGTTGTATACCTAGTATTATTGCACAACATGAAAAGGAAAATAAAGTTATAGGAGGATGTCACGGTGTCAGGGCTGATCGAACAGTGTCCATGGGAAAGGTTTTGGAGATCCATTCCAAAACGGGCATTATAGTTCCAATACGAACTCGTAAGTACTGTATGACTACTTATGTGTAAAATTGAATGCTGTGATAATCATTCACTTAATTTGGTTTTAAATTGAGCACTGTATAAAATTTCTCAAGATGCTTATAAACTAAAAGACTAAGAGTCCCCCCCATTTTTTTCCTAACATTACCTTTACTATTGAAAGGTTTGTTCGCCCCCCCCCCCCCCCCACTTCTTACCATAGTATAATGATAGAAGGATATGTAAGTAAAAATGTAAGTGAAAGGAAGTTGGCATTGAAAAAAAGTTAGCCCCCCCCCATGAAATTGGATTTTCGAGTTTGGGTTATTTCTTTTTTTTTTTGCCCCCCCCCCCCCCCCCCCCTGCCTGTACTGTTGATTGTAATAATTTTTTTTTATTCAACACAGCTTGGTTTTAGGATTTATTTGCTTAATATTTGTTGTGGCTACTGGTTGAAGTACTCAATTTGACTTGGCATTTTAGACAAGCATTTTCTGTACTACAATCCTTTGCTACTTGTTAAATCATCATATCATCATCGTCATCATTTCATCCACGTCATTGTCATCAACTTCACCAACCATGCCATTGTCATTGTCATCAACTTCATCAAACCATCTGATAGGACTAGAGAGTATTGTACGTTTGCATATAATCAACTATTTGTGTATCCTTCATTCCCGTTTTTAATTCACCAGATTCATAATTTTGTATGGCATGCCTTACTAAATAGTCTTTGTTAAGTTATGAATCATTATTTTTTAGTCCTATAGATGTGCAACCTGAAGGGACTCGAGGGTTGAACCTCCTTGTCTGTTTGACCTAATCCCAGGAATTGACATTTATGTTTTGGCAAAGAATGACTGCACATAAAGACGTTATTTCGAACCTTTTTCGGCTATCCATTTGAAGCTTCTGATTATAATGTATCGCTAAACTAATAAATGATTATTGTGCATGTAAATGCTTTTGATATATATGATATAAAAAAGTTGGGGGGGGGGGGCTAAGCTTATATGTATTAGTTTGAGTTAAAATACACATTCTGTGCAAATGAGAAAAATGGCTAAGTTGCGGCTATATGTAAACAATGTCGCTGAAAACTGGTATGCATATGAATAACAATAGAAATGAGCCAAAACTATAAGACCCCTGTCTCAAAAGCTAGTGTCGCTCGGCATTATTAAATTCTTTCATGTAATATAATATACTAAAACCTGCTCATAAGATATTGTTTAATACCTATAAAACATAAATTTAATGAATTTTGGAATTTATTTTGCGCAAAGCATCGGGATCCAACTCTCATACCTTAAGTGCAGTCACTCTTTGGTTGAATTCCCCTTTTATTTTAAAGTCAGAAAATCTTACTGGAGATGAAAATATTTTGATTAAAAGTGAAAAGTAACTAAACTTATCTTGTATTTATTTGAAATTTTAAAGTCAATTCAGTCATTTTTTCTAGATAAAGTTTTTGCACATTTTTTATTATCTCCCTTGTTACTCCAAAATCAGAACATCTTGGATGGAAATATTTTTATCAATCGTGAGAAAAGTAAGATATTACGAAATATACATTGCTAAAGTATTAATTTACTGTATATTATGTTTGAGGTAAAGAGGTGGAATATGGGATAATGCTGTTTAGCAGAAAACAATAAATAATGATATACATGTAACACTTACATTTTTTTTTCTAGCAATTTGTCCAAGATGTAGGAAAAGTCTTTACGAAGATCCTGCTGAAAGTGTAAGTGTTTTAATGCCCTATTTTTTTTTTTTTTTTTTTTTGCAATTGCAGGACACATCTTTTTTCTGTTTATTCCTTATATCTCATCAAAAAATATATAGAAATTTTCTGCAAAAAAGGTTTTTCAACCTACCTACTGACCCTATATCGGTAATTGTTCTCTGAGTCAGGAGAGGACAAACAAATATTTTAAAGATGGTCCTGTATACAGAACATTAGATATTACTAATTATGTCTTAGACTAAAACTTCACAATTTTCATTTGTCACATTGTTGATGTTTATGTTTTATTTTTTCAAAAGATTGATTTGTGCAGGTCGTATGAATTTTTATCAAACAAACTTTAACATTATTTAAATTTATCTACAGAGCTCTGAGAATAAAAACCTTCCTGGTAATGGACTAAATGGAGAGTATAACTTAAGGCCGAATAGACTCGCGTCTGTTTATATGGTAAGAAATTCTTAGCAAGCTCTTATTGGTATATAAGTATATTATCAGTTTCAGACTTTGTCTTTAGCTGCAGATCTGTAGCTCTCCGAAAAAAATATTGATATACCGGAGAGCTACAGTGCCACCCATTGAAAAAACTGTATATTTATTGCGCACAAAAAAGTGCGCTCGGTTCTCGGTTTATTCCTCTATGTTTTTAAACTGTAATCTCAAAATACTAATAACCGTGAATTTCTAACATATTCTTTGACTCTTTCCACAATAAAACATTCCTCATAATTGTTGTTAATAGTCCTCCTGGCCCTGATATTGTAATCATCGAACATTTCGCTTATTTATACTGCCATTTTGGTTTCAAGGATAATTCGGTCCAATATGCTTCGTTCAGATGTCAACTACAAAAGTACTTGATAGAGGAAAAAGGATTTTTTAGAAATCTTCCAGTTTATGCAATTTAGGTAAGAATTTGGAAGAATTAATCAACAACAGAGCGCATTTTTTGTGCGCAATAAATATACAGTTTTTTCAATGGGTGGCACTGTAGCTCTCCGGTCTATCAATATTTTTGTTTTCGGAGAGCTTAACAGATATGCAGCTAAGTTTGTCTTCCACTTGATCTCCCTCACAAGCTCATGTTTATACTATCATTCTATAGAAACCACTATTTAGTTTGCTGAGAGAATTTATGTGGTAAAATACAACAAGGTTCAACAAAACTTTTTCTGAGACAAAAGAAACAAATTTCATGAATAAAACTTTTGTCACATATAGATACATTGTAAATGAATACTGAATCTGGAAGATACTCTGGGCAAAGGCACTCAGGATAAATGAAATTTACTGGGTATTTTATTCTCAAATGTCCTGCAGGTTCTTTAAGATGGTTATAAAATAAAATGTATATATCTAAAGGCTCTCCTTA